GTTTTCTGCATCTTTTAATTAGAGTATGTGTAATGGATACGTAAATATATATAAAAACGAAAAAAATACTTAAAATACATCACCTGGGTTATGATTACTAGAATCACCGAAATGATATTCGGAACTGTCATATATGTGATCTTCAATGTGTTCTAATGGATCCTCATCTTTGCAAGTGCAAGTTACGCCATATCGCAAAAAACAATATAAAATTTAAATATTATTATTATACAAATTAACAAATATAAAAAACTTATAAAGTAAATTCACCTAAATTTAGATTGCTAATCTCAGATATTTGAAACTCGACATTATGTAGAGAATCATGATCCCGTAACCCGAAATCTTCATACTCCTTAGGATATTCATGTTGATCATGAATAAGATCGTCACCAGCTGATACCGTATCATCTATAAGATAAGTAACAACACGATTGAACACCAGTTGATTGGGGAAAGCAAAATAAATTCAATATTACAAACTTTGATCCAATTCAGTACATATTAAAAAAGGAGAAACCGTGTAATTGATATGTAACTAAAAATGCGTTATATTTGTATTCATTGTTATCAAATATTTGGTTTTTTAAAATTTTTAGAAAGATTGTAAAGATAAGAATCAACACAAAATCGTATTATTCATCATCATATTGTAAATATTTGACATATTCAAATTCCAAATATAATAAATTGCATAGATATGACTTCAACACATCCTGCGTTTTAAATTAGACTTTTAATAAATTAATTCAGTAAACTTTAAAAAAAAATTATTGAAACAAGATCAATTAATATCACAAGAGTGTTATTCTGGTTTATTATGGCATAACCGCGTATACTAAGAAATCAATTAATATCACAAGAGTGTTATTCTGTGAGAATATTTGAAACAAGATCTACAATAAATTTATTTTTCACACATTTGTTCTATATATTCTCGTACAACTTAATATAGACATATTTATACCACGGTATCATGATACCACAATCTTATTCTGTAAAAATATATGTAATAATAATAACAGTAAATTTATTTTGCTCATGTTTGATCTGTATATTGTAATACAAATTAGCATTCTGGTAGAATTTGATAACAAGAATTCTAATGGAATATTTGATTAATCAATAAGTAAAACAAATTTATAAACACTAATTCTTTACGAATAATAAGAATTGTGTTTTTGTTTTTTTATGTATATTATAATCAACAGTTACATTCTAGTACTTTTGATAATAAGAATTGTGTTTTTGTTTGTTCTCTACGAATAATAAGAATTGTATTTTATATCAATCATTCTAACAGAATGTGTACATATAACATTAAGTATAACACAATTTATGAAGAATTGTTTTATACAGAAATATGAGAACAAAAATACATTTACAACAACATATCTTACAACAACATATATGTAGTCATATGATAAATTCATATGTCTTTGTCTAGAAAGACTATATTTCATGGTTAATTATTTTTGATAAATTCATAAATTAAAAAGAAAAATTTTTCAGCTTTAAATAATTACTCGAATGAGAGAGTCATCAAACATAACAATTTTTTGACTAAATTATATTAAATAAATTTGTTTACAATTTTATTTATTAAGATCAATATAACAGGGAGTTACACCATCGCTTGTTACTAATTTTGTGATCATACCCTGATACGGCCCATAACGGATTATTAGAGGCCCGACAATAAAAGTTCGGCTTGGGCCTGCGACTGGTTAATTAAAGGGCCAGTGAGGCTCATTTTTGGTTTCTCTAACTATAATCAATTGATTGTGCAAAATGTTGATCAATAATATAAAAAATCATTCATTCATCAAAAGTTATCTACTACATTTTATATGTGCAGTGGTTGATACTCATGTTGTCAGCTGTCGTGGCTAGAAGGTGCAAAATAAATATTAAAATTGTTTAGCCTTCAAAATATTACCTACTCCTTTTTATATCAATTGTAGAGAAGTTAACTTGCAAGTTATCAACTTCCAGCTACAATGTACAAAAGTATATTAAAGATTCATTCACTAATAATAAATACAGACCAAACGTTCACATGATTTGCCCTTTAGGTAGATAATTCAACTGTTGACTTTTTAAGGACTAATTCAACCTCTAAATTATATGCTTATAAATATCAAAGAAGTGTTAATTGAGTTACAGGGCCAATGAAAAGTGAATAAAACAAACTGAGCTTAATAGTGGAGACGACTTCACCCATCTAAACACTAAATTCACAATTGACAATCAAGATAGCAAATAGCTTGTATAAAAGATTAGAGACAATGAAGGAGTTTAAGAGATGAGATCTTACTGAGAATAGTGGTTATAATGGTGAACGCGTTCACTAGAGAGCAACGTGTCCATTTTCATATCAATCAGTTCATGAAGAGATATTCAGAACTTGAGATCCACAATCCAAATTTTCAGAATTAATATGGTCAAGTAGATAAGCTACAAACTAGCCATTAGCAATGAAACTATTTTGCAGCCGAAAGATAAAAACAGGCTATGCAAGTTAAGTATGAATATAGATATAGAAATGAAACAGATTGTTATGCTTAAACTCTGGAGAATCTAAATATGGTTCATCAAACAGATCAAACAACTTAAATCCATCAATTTTGCAACTTGAAGATCATATTCGTCCACAACCACCATTGACTTCATCATAGAGAGCAAACATGTTACGAAAAAACATGAAAGCTTGTTCCAGGTTTTGCTTAGAGGGTGGAAAATTAATACGTCAATGAGAGATCACATGTACCTCTGATTGGAAATAAATTATTAATATGTCGCCAAAAGACTACCTATGACCTAACCATGGATTTAACCTGCATCATTCTTGTTTGGAGAGTTCACTCAGGCATTTTATCAAATACATAACGTGCATGTAAAACCACCAACCAGAAACTTGTTTAGACTGACGATCAGTGAGCGAAGAAACTCAAAACGGTTGTTGGAACTTGATAAAAATAACAAAAAGGTCAAAAACTTTATTTGCTTTGCCTATGAAAAGTCAATTTGCTTCGATAGGCAGAGAAATACATGGAGATATACATATATACATACACGATGAAACATTTGCTTCAATACATTTTAAGACGAATACCTTTTAATCTGGCAATGAGACATACACACAGATATGTTCTGTAAATTTTTTCAATATACATATGAGACCGTTAATAAAAGAAAAAAGTAAAATGAAATAAACAAGTTGAGCTAGAATTAGTATGTGTTTTTTATGATTACAAATTTACTTAGCAATACGATATATATGTATGATTCATTTTAAAATACCAAAAAGACGGTGTCAGCTACTTGGAATGTGTAAAATCGTTATAAAACATGTCGTCCTACAGAATGACTGGAATTAGTCTACAAAATGGTTGATTTCGAGAAGATAACATTATTGAACATATGTTGGTTTTTGGATATGTGGAAAAATGCTGATTATTAAAATAGTTTAAAATAAAAAATTCCATTCTCCCTGTTTATGTTGTCCAGGGGTTGATTCACATGTGCTGGCTGCTACTAGAAGGTGCAAAAGAGTGTTCAAATTATTAAAGAGTTGTTAAACATTACCTAATGGCCACTCCATTAATTCTATATTGTTGAGTAAACGAGTGATTAATTGCATTTTGGCAGCCAGCTAGGAGGTGGAAAAGATATTATAAAGTGTTGACCTGAACAATGATTGAAATCACTATAAAGAATGGCCTGAATCCTTCTTTTTCCTGCACTCATTTTATTTGCATCCCCACCATACATACATACAAAGTGCTCCCATTTTACCTGCAGCGATGGCTGAAATTGTTGTTTCCGCCTTCTTTTCATTGTTCTTTGATAAGCTGGCCTCTGAAGCTTTGAACAAGATTGCTCGTGCCAAGGGAATTGAGTCCGAGCTCAAGAGACTGAAGAGGTCACTAATCCAGATCAAAAATCTCCTTTATGATGCTTCTCGGAAGGAGCTGACCGATGAAGCTGTAAAAGAATGGCTGAATGGTCTCCAACATTTGGCTTACGACATAGACGATGTACTTGATGATCTGGCTACCCAAGCTATGGAAAGTCAGCTAACTGAGAAATCTGGATCCACCAGCAGCAAGGTAAGAAAGCTAATCCCAACTTGCTGCACAAATTTCTCATTAAGTTATAGGATGCATGCCAAGTTAGATGATATAGGCACCAAGTTACAAGAACTGATAGAGGCAAAAAATAATTTTGGTTTGAGTGTGATAACAAATGAAAACCCAAAAATTGAAAGATATGAAGCCAGTTTGGTAGATGAACGCGGTATAATTGGACGTGAAGGTGATAAGAAGGCATTGGTTGAAAACTTGTTAGGGGGCAAAAATGAATCGTCTAATCAAAACTTTAGCATCGTGCCCATAGTTGGTATGGGTGGTGTAGGTAAAACAACTTTAGCTAGGCTTTTATATGATGAAAAGGAAGTGAAGGATCACTTTGAGGTCAGGGCTTGGGTTTGTGTTTCTGATGAGTTTGATATTTCTAATATAAGCAAAGTCATTTATCAATCTGTGACCGGGGAAACCAAGGAATTCACAGATTTAAATTTGCTTCAAGAAGCTCTTAGACAGAAACTTAAGGACAAGCTATTTCTAATAGTGTTAGATGATGTATGGTCCGAAAGCTATGATGATTGGGATAAGTTAGTGGGCCCATTTCTTGCGGGGTCTCCTGGAAGTAGAATTATTATGACAACTCGGAAAGAGCAGTTGCTTAGAAAGTTGGGTTACCCTCATGTAGATCCACTACGGAGTCTAACACATGGTGATGCTATGTGTTTATTTTCTCAACATGCATTAGGTGTAGATAACTTTGATTCACATCCAACACTTAAACCCTATGGTGAAGGGTTTGTGAAAAAATGTGATGGCTTGCCATTAGCTTTAAGAGCACTTGGACGGTTATTGAGGACGAAAAAAGATGAGGAAGAATGGAAGGTGTTGTTTGATAGTGAGATTTGGAGGTTAGGAAATGGAGATGAGATAATTCCGGCTCTTAGACTGAGCTACAATGATCTTTCTGCCTCTTTGAAGCAGTTATTTGCATACTGCTCCTTGTTCCCCAAGGACTATTTGTTCGATAAGGAAGAGCTGATTCTGTTGTGGATGGCCGAAGGGTTTTTGCACCACTCTACTACAAGCAAGTCCATGCAACGCTTGGGTCTCGAATATTTTGAAGAGCTGCTGTCAAGATCGTTTTTTCAACATTCGTCTGACGACGAATCGTTGTTTGTGATGCATGACCTAATGAATGACTTGGCCATGTCTGTTGCTGGAGAATTTTTTTTAAGGTTAGATATTAATATGGAGTATTGCAGGAAGGAAGTTTTGCAAAAGCACCGCCATATGTCATTTATTTGTGAGGAGTACATGGCTTACGAAAGGCTCAAGCCACTCAAAGGAGCTAAAAGTTTGAGAACATTTTTAGCGTTGTCTGTTGGGGTGGTAGCAAGTTGGAAGACGTTTTACTTATCAAATAAGGTCTTGAATGACTTACTTCAGGAGTTACCATTGTTAAGGGTCCTAAGTTTCACTAATCTTAGCATAAGCGAGTTACCAGAAGTCGTTGGGAGTATGAAGCACTTGCGGTATCTTAATCTATCTAACACTGAAATAAAACATTTACCGGAAAATGTGTGCAATCTTTATAATTTACAGACGTTGATTGTTTTTGGCTGTAAGTATTTAGTTAAGTTGCCTGAGCGCTTCTCAAAGCTTAAAAATTTGCAGCATTTTGACATAAGGGATACTCCGCTTTTGAAGAAGATGCCCTTAGGGATTGGTGAATTGACAAGTTTACAGACTCTCTCCAAGATCATTATTGGAGGTGAATCCGGCTTCACAATAACCAAGCTTAAGAACTTGCAAAATCTCCATGGGAATGTTTTTATTGAGGGGCTGGGAAATGTGGAAAATGAAATGGACGCACGTGAGGCGAACTTCTCGCAGAAAAGGCTTACTGAGTTAGTGTTGGATTGGGGTTCTGAGTTTAATGTTTTTCGAACGGAAACTCATGAAATGGAGATCCTCAATGAGCTGAAGCCTCATAATGGCACTCTAGAAAAACTCGGAATTGAGTCATATAGAGGTATAGAGTTTCCAAATTGGGTTGGGGATCCCTCCTTTCGTCGATTGACTAGAGTGTCGATAGATGGCTGTGAAGAATGTACCTCTCTACCAAGACTTGGGCAATTACCATCACTAAAGGAGCTGTTTATTGGTAAGGTGAGTAAGGTGAAGGTTGTAGGTTTGGAGTTACTTGGGACTGGTTGTGCATTCCCTTCATTAGAAATTCTAAGTTTTGAGGATATGGAGGGGTGGGAGGTATGGTCATCAAATAGTTGGGCGTTTCCTTGCCTTCAAGAGCTTCGTATTGAAGCTTGTCCTAATCTGGTTCAGTTCTCACTTGAAACACTGCCTTCACTAAGGATTCTGAAACTAAGAAAATGTGGTCATGATGTATTGAAAAGCCTGGTTGATGTAGCTTCATCAATCACCAAGTTGGAAATAGATGATATTTCAGGGCTTACCGACGAACTGTGGAGAGGCGTGAAAGGGTATCTTGGGGCAGTTGAAGAAATAAGAATCAGAGGGTGTGATGAAATAAGATACTTGTGGGAATCAGAAGCACAAGCAAGTAAGGTTCTTATGAATTTAAAGAAGTTGGAGTTAAGAGACTGTGAAAATTTGGTTCGTTTAAGGGAGAAAGAGGAGGATAATAGTTGGAGCAGCCTAACATCTTTTAGGTGGTTGAGAGTATGGGATTGTAAAAGCTTGGAGCATTGCAGTTGTCCCCAGAGCATGGAGGCTTTGAATATTCAACGTTGTGATTCAATTACATCCGTCTCCTTCCCAACAGGAGGGCAGAAGCTCAAGTCACTTACCATTTGGGATTGTAAGAAACTACTGGAAAAGGAGATGGGAGGAGGAGAGAAGACTGGGGGGCTTATCAACTCAAACAAGCGGATGCTTGTATCAGTTGATATACATAATTGGCCAAATCTGAAGTCATTTAATGAACTGAATTGTTTCATTTACCTCACCATGTTGACAATATCAGAGTGTCCAAGTATGGAGTCGTTTCCCGACCATGAGTTGCCGAATCTTTCCTCTTTAACACATCTAGAGATACAAAAGTGTACAAGTATGAATGCTTCCTTTCCTCGTGGGCTGTGGCCACCGAAATTGTGTTTACTTAATATAGGAGGGTTGAGGAAGCCCATCTCAGAGTGGGGCCCACAGAATTTCCCAACCTCGCTTGTTAACCTAATATTACATGGCGGACCATATGATGATGTGAAAAACTTTGATCAATGTTCCCATCTTTTACCTTCATCTCTTACTGTTCTTTGCATTGATGGATTTGAGAAACTGGAATCGGTTTCAACGGGACTGAAACACCTCACCTCCCTCCAACGTCTCTTCATTGAGAACTGCCCCAAGACGATAGATTTACCAGAGAAGTTGTTGCCTTCACTTATGTTATTGTGTATAGAAGGATGCCCAAATCTGAAAGAAAGGGTTAGTAGAGGAGGCACCTATTGGCCTCACGTTTCCCTTATACCCTGCTTCTCATTCTGGATAGACCGATGGATAGACCGATACTTACAAAATGACTAGGAAGGTACGCCCCTCTCCTTTGAGATCTTTTAGTTAGTTATGCCTATATTAAATAACTAATTCAGCAAGTTCAAACAAATTTTCTCTATGTATTATCTCCGTACAACCGCACAAGTACATATTTTCACAAGTTCATTTGTGTCTCAATATCTGGTTGTTAACATGGATATGCTTACTGACTGCGGATTTTACCATTTTTTTTCTTTTAAGGTGTACACTTACAGCCAAGCAATAAAAGATCAAAGGTTGGTGGATGTAATGAAAGCATCATAGAAAATAAAAGATCAAACGTTGAAGCTTTAATGCTTTTTATGTGCAGCATCTTTTCAGTCATTCAAACTACGCTCAACCTCTTCATAACCTGGATTTGCAAAGTTGTTTTGCTTTTACAAAACCTTTTAAAGGTTTACGTTATCTCATTGTCAAATTGAATACTTAATTTGTAAACTCCAACTTATCTGGCTTCTTTTCTAATATTTACTTGTTTTCTAGACTTGATTCAACCCAAATAGAAAGAGAACTTCTGGTTTTCATCAAGGGACATCCTATGAAGTATGGTCATCGAATCATTAACACCACATTTGTTTGTATGGAAAGACTACCTTTGAGAGTTAGATTGAAAACAAAACAAAAACAGATAACTCCATCTCCTCTTCCAAGAAGTTGAAAACAGAGTCCATGTAACTTTGACTTTCATTAAATGATGTATAACTTTAATAAGTCTTCTTGCTTCTGAAAATATTATTTGCCACAGACAAAATGCACTCTGAATTATGCTTTTTAATTTATGACTAGCTTTAATTTTGGGCTGTTTCCTCTCTAGATTATTGTATACTTTCTTTGGACAAACGAACTTCCATATTTACTAATCTAAGTCTATTGTAGACACCAGATTGCTGTTTAATTGGGAGTGATGTCCTTTGGCGACTTCCTCCTGTAAAATTGCAATCCTTTTTAAGGTGTATAAAAGACTAGATTATATTAAATTATTAATGACAATGCAACAACATAAACATAAGTATATTCTATTTAAGGTGTATGAAAGACTAGATTATATTTGTTTGATGCTTAATTATATTCATATCATTATGGTTTGAAGTTTGATAACTTCATAAAATAACAACAAAATTTTCTTCAGCTTTGAATATTTACTCAAATTTGAGTCATCGAACATAACAAGGCTAAATGGAGAAAAATTGGATGCTAAATTACAAGGAATCATCAAGCCTTTAGGCTCACATTATATTTTGCGAAGTAAAATAAACTTATGTTTGTATTCATAGTTTCTGGTGTTAACTGCTTTTTTAAATAACTTCCTGGAACCACTCAAACGTTGTACTACACATGCTTAATTATATCCAGATTTCTAATTTCGTAAGCCAATGAAAATCACAACAGGGGCTGTTTCAGATTCAAGCATAAACAAAACCATACAAAATCAGAACAGAATTCATATTCACGCATAAAGACACAAGGTTTGGTCTTTAGGAAAATAATACAACGGTGGACTTTTTAAGGACTTATTCAACCTCTAAGTTATATGCTTATAAAAGTCAAAGAAGTGTTATGGAGTACCAGAGCAAATGAAAAGTAAATAAAACAAACTGACCTAAATACTGGAGACAACTTCACCCATCTAAACACTAAATTCACAATTGATCACGTTCACTACAGAGCAAGATGTCCATTTTTGTATTTATTGAGATATATACTGATAGCTTCCAAGATATTATATCAAACAGTTCATGAAGTGATAAACAGAATTTCAGATCCAGTGATCCACAATCCAAATTTTCAGAATCAATTTGGTCAACTAGATAAGCTACAAACTAGCCATTAGCAATGAAACTATTTCATTGCCCAAGAATAAAAACAAGCTATGCAAGTTAAGTATGAATATAAATATAAAAATGAAACAGATTGCTATGCTTAAACTTTGGGAAATCCATCTCCACAACATTTCTAACTAAGTTCATCACATTCAAAGGATAAGCTTTGGTGAAGTGAAAAAGTCATCAGTAGTAGCATCAAAATATGGTTCAACGAGCTGATCAAACAGCTTAAATCCATCAATTTTGCAACTTGAGGTTCATAAAATCATATTCATCCAGAACCACGTCATCATTGGTCATGAAACATTTCGACAATTAACCAAACCATGGATTTAAACATCATTCTTGTTTCAAGATTTCACTCGGGCATTTTATCAAATACATACCGTGCATGTAAAACCACCAAACAGAAACTTGGTCAGATTGACAATCTGTGAGCAGAGAAACTCAAAACGGTTGTTTAACCTTGATAAGGAAAACTAAAACCTAAGTTGCGTTGTCTAAGAAAAATAAATTTGCTTCCATCGGCAGAGAAATACATGGAGATATACATACGTTGCATGCTGAAAATGGATCACATGAACTTCCCAATACATACGAGAAACATTAAACAGAAACGATCGCTCTTCGCTAAAGAAAGCAGACGGACCAGACAGACAGAGAGGCGGGACGACAGTAGACAGCAACGGATGGGGTGAGTGGCGACGTGGCTGAGGAGCAGAACTTTTTTTGGCATTAACATCGGAGGACCAAATCAATGGGAGAAACAAAATAAAACTACTGTCATCAGACAGGTCGACAAAATATGATTGAAAGTTTGGATCAGACAACTTTCATGACTAAGTGCTTAATCTATTAAGCATTTTAATGGGTTCAAAATATTATTAAAAGTGTGGATCAGACAAGATACAACAACACGAAAACATTTCAATACAAATAGGGGAGGGGTAAAATGGTCCAAAAAAAAATGATGCAGGAGGGGTAAAATGGTCCAAAATCATTACAATCAATTAGGAAAATTATTATAATTGTAAAAAAGTAATACATATAGTTTGCTTTTTAAAGAACATTGTTGATTATGCTAATAAAAGGATGGGTTATTAAAGATAAATCAAGAACTAATAAAATAATATGTACTTTTTTTGTTTGTCTGATTAATTTGGCAGGGGTATAAATCCTCTGTTTTTATTTTCTTATTGCGTTTGGATGAGAAGGGTAAGAATTGTTGGCTTTTCACAAGCTTGTAACTAAGAATTGGCAGTAACTAAGAATTGGCAATGGAACATTAACGAAGAGAAAACAGGGCACAAAATTACTTAAAGCTTAGAGCTTTTATTCACTGAATTGTAAAAGAAAGTCACACCTCAACATACATCAATACTAGCTATTTAAACTCAAAATGATGCTAAAAATATGCAACTAACCCTACTAACTTAAGACTCGGACCTAGCCCACATGGCTTTGAATTATTCAACAACTAGAAACGTGCAGTAAAACTAAAACATTTTCTGAATTATTTCATCATTCTCCTCCCTAATTCAGAAATCATACCTTCAATACTCCAAGAAGACTTCGCATCTCCTCAAACTTCAATTTTCCCAATGACTTGGTTAGAACATCTTCCTTCTGATTCTTGCTACAGACATGAGTGACTGAAATGTTCCCATTCTCAAAACATTCTCGGATGAAGTGGAACCGGATATCTATGTGCTTACTTCTGCCACGGAAGACTGGGTTCTTCATTAAATCTAGTGAAGATTTGTTGTCAACCTTCAGCTCAACAGGTGGCACCTTTTGTCCGATTATCTCACTGAGCAATCTTCTGAGCCAAATTCCTTGACAGGCTGCCATGGTGGCAGCCATAAATTCTGATTCACAGGTAGAGAGTGACACACACCTCTGCTTTTGTGATGCCCATGTGATCAAGTTCTCATTCACGTAGAACACCATGCCTCCTGTGCTTCTTCGATCATTGACATCATTTGCTAAGTCACTATCTGTAACGCCCCGTTCCTGGTACGTATTTAATTTGATTAAATGTTTCTTTTTGTAAGAGCTACTCGGCGAGTTGTAGCCCTAACTCGCGGAGTAGATGTCGAATTGGACGCGGGCTTTAAGTGATCTACTCGGCGAGTCCACGCCTGGACTCGGCGAGTAGCCCAGTCAAGAGGAAACCCTAATCCTTAGGGTTTGCACCCTATTTAAACGTCCTTATAGCCCTATCTCAGCCTCCATCACCCTCAGAGCATTCCTTATCGAAACCCTAGTCTCCATTGGTGAGTTTTAGTGATTGTTGCCTTGTGAAGGGACTTTTGGTGCACATTGGAGCAAGTGGAAGAAGGAAGGAGTTGAAGAGCTCAAGG